AGTTTTGCGACACAAGATTCGCCAACAAGATGCATCATGTGAACAGATCTATTTACGCCGCCCCTCTATCGCGATTTGGTCAGTTTCGGTTTCAGTATTGTAACTTTTACTGGTTTCGGTTTCATATTTTAAGGATCGCGTCTTCGACGCCCCATCGGTAGCGACACCAGTTCTTTATTTTTTCTTTTTCGCGCATGGTTTCGCCAGTTTTGCGACCGTTGGGTGTGTCGCGGGATAGAAATGCCTTTAGACATGGAAATGTGCTAATTCAATCAAGTTTATCCATCTGTGAAGTTTCCTCTTGTGATGATTATGTTCAAGAAGAGCGCGGAAGACCGACGACGCGACAGAACGAGCAACTCAACGCAGTTGGTAAGCATACTTCTTTGTTTGCATTGTACGCGTTGAACGAGAAGTGAGCATTATGGAGTTTTAGAATAATCTCGTGGCTGCTGTGCATGCGCAGACCCAAAACAAGCATCGGACTCGAGCTTTGGGGCCCGTTATTTCTCGATAATAGCGTGGGTACCGCAAAAGGCGGCGTACCGCAAAAGGCGGCGCCCACGACATCTCTGTTGATCGCGTCTTCGACGCCGTCGCCCGTTCGGGAACTGCGTGAGTCGCACTCGGTGACCGCGGTCGGTATGGTCGAAGCGTATTGAAAACGCCACGGATCGCTGGATTCACAGCTCAAAGCTATCGAGGCGCAAAGCTATCGAGGCGCGTGTACTTACGATCGCGGCAGACATGTAAGCATGCCTGGGTAGTGGATCGTCTGGGCTTCGTAAGTACAACAGAGCAGCTTGGCAGCGACAAAAACAAAACATGCGGCATTGAGTGTAAAAAAACTATAAAAATGTTACTCTGAACAAAAAGCTTGTTTAATTTTCAAGGTAAAACGTTCTAACTTTCAAATAAAAGCTGTCGCGACATCTTGGTGGCGTTTTAAGCGCGAGATGCTTGCGTTTGGTGGGGTCCCCTTCAGAGAAACGCTATTCTAAAACTCTTCGCCGCAATCCTCGCTATTTTGCCGTCCGTAACGCGCGGTAAAGTTGCGCCCGATATTCTAAAACTCCCTATTTTCTCGTTAAGCTAGAATGTTTTTTTTTTATTTTTTTAACTAGTTGGGTTTGCTTTATCTGTCCTAATGTTTGGATCTATGTGTAGCGTAATGAAAAGTTGCCACTCATTCTGTGTATGGTCCGAGAAAGTGTAGCTCATGTCAACAGAGCACGTATTGAATTCCTAATGCTACTTTCAGTCCGTTGCTTTAGGAAATGTCTTATTGGTCTAGCAGTGTACTGATGTCTTTCAACTATAAATTAATTACATTGATAATACTTTATTACATTTCCGAAGTTAGACTTCCTTGGAATTCGGTTCATGCAGAGACAATATTCCTTTTCAGTCAAAATGGTAGAAGAGGATATCCATCTTTTGTTTTGAAGCTATGGAAGTGGACTAAATTGTACTGTTAGGACAAACTTCGATCCCCTGGCTTTCTAGAATTGAACTGGGTTTACATTTGTCGGTTAGAACTTTTGATAAAGCAGTTGTTCTTTTCGCCTCTTTTTTTTCTCTTTCATTTTGCAATTGTGATGTGATCAAGCCGAGGGCCGCAGTTATTCCCAAATGAAGCAGCAGCAGTGTGTTCCCAGCTTGCGTCACTTCGATTCATTTTAAGGCATGCCACGAAATGAATGGCCCTGTTCATACACCGTTGAAATTGGGCCTGCCTTCAAAATGCAGTTCGACACAGTGTTTAAGCGGTAAAGACATGTGTTGAATGACCTATGCGGTTGTCACAGGTTCGTGGTTGGTCAACCTGAAACGCTTGTCTTCCTCTTCCCATTGGTTTGAAGCTCGGCCGGCATTATACTCCGTTTCATACTTAGCGTGCAACGCTGTCAAAGCTACTGGCGCGAGTGCGTGGCTTCATCTACGGTTTGGCTTGCGCGAGAAGGCGTGCAAATGATCAACAAGATCAAGCCCCACGCTCGCGCGAGTAGCTTTGACAGCGTTGCACCTTAAGTATGAAGAGAAGTATAGTCTCATCCGAGCTCAAGCCTTTGACGCCCAGGTAAACATGTGCGAGGATTGTAATTGACCCTCCCTCCAACCACCCTTAAACAGACCAAAATGACAAAAAAGACAAAATTTGTGACAGCGGTGTTCGAGAGAAACTGCAGACGTTTAATTACCCTGCCTGAAACTTTGCAAACATTTCAGTGTGGTTGCAGCTGTGTGGGCGAGGTAAATCCAATATGAAAACTGGACCCTGAAGCGACGCCCTCAGGATGCCGAAAATAATTATGGTAAGTTAGAAATTAACCCACTAGTATACTTCCTAAATATTTGGGCCGGGTGTCGATTAAAAAATTTTAACCCAGTTAATTTGTCACAAATTTTCAGGCATAATATCTTGAAAAGAATGGAACTGCAGATGTTTCAAACTGGCTGAGATAAATCAGCCTTGCGGTGCACCAAGGTTTACACTGAACATACTTTTGTGTATTGTCCACGAGGTGTAGCTCTTGCATTGAAGTTTTATGTTGTAGTTTCTTCAATGTTTGAACTTTCTGCGTGCCAGCTGGGTAGTGTGTAAATGTTTTTTTTTTTTTTTATAGCGCAAGCAATATCGTAATCCTGGTGGCAGAAAGTTTCGGCTAGCAGTTGACATGATTGAACAACGGTGTGCATGCTTGCTTTCTCTGAAGCGGCCAATGAAGCGAAATAACAGCATGTGCGGATTGTCCATGCATTTAATTTTTTGTTTATTGTTCGTTTCAGACTACATGTGCTCCCAGTACAAGGGGGTGGCCCTCCAGGCGCTGACGACCAGCATGTCATCTCTGCTGTGCTGTCGAGGGAAATTTAAAGGGTAAATATTGCAGCTGCAGTTTTTTCTATTCTGTCCCTGCTACACTTCCTGCGAATTTCTGTGCATACTTGGTCTTTTTGTTTTCATAGTACTGTAAACTTTTGTTATAGTCCGTTGCAACTATAGAATAGCACAAGCCCCTCCCACAGTTCCCTTTGCTCACCATGATTGGCAGTGTCCTCTCGGCTCTCCTCCTCTCTGGTGTTTGCTTATTAAAAAGAGTGAAGGGCTTTGTGGGAGGGCCTTCTGCTATTCTAGAGTGGCAACAGAGTATAATGACCTCAGTTAATTTAACCATTTCGAAGAGTCCTAGCGGGCACCCATGCATTTTTATGGGAAGGACTCTGCATCATATTTTGAACACGAGAAAATGACCCCACAAACAGGAAAGCACGGGCTTTCTGCTACAAAATTAACCGAACCAAACTTTGTTTTCAAGATCAGACCGGAAAAAGTCGACTCCTGTCTTAAACGGCGAGTAACAGAAATCCTGTGCTAGTCTTGCCACGTTGGGAAGCTAATGCTATGACCCCCATCTTGATTTCTTTAATGCTTGTTATGGCTGTTTCCACATCTGGTGTTTTCACTGTTCTTTGGCCAAAAGTGAGTGGCAGGTCGCCATAGGTTTCCAGAAGAAAGTGGTCGCATATGCAGAAATGTTTAGCAAGTTCGTAGCGCAGTGGCACTTCGTCGCAACCGAGGAAAAACTACGGTATTGTTGGTGCAAAACATTAAGCCTCACGACTAGCAGCGACTTAATCATGGATATACTGCAGCGTACGGCGTTTATTTCAGCTCTACTCCACACAAAATATCACAGGGGCACTTGGGTATCCCTTTGTGGATTGAATGCGAAAGCATTGCCGTTCCTAACGACACTTCCTTTTTTTTTCCTCTATTGTTAGGAATGGCAATGCTTTCGCATTCAATCCACGTAGGTATAACTAAGTGCCCCTCTAATATTTGTTTTACGTTACATCATACGGCATCACACATCATGGTACGTCATGTCGTCACGTGAAGTGTGATGTCATCGAACCGAGGACATATTTTTATGACCATCTTTCGGGCATATCAACGCCGATGCCGTCAAACATGATGAAAAAACCGCCTCAGATAAACAGGGACAAAGAACGGGTAAAGACATGCCATCTTTTGCTGTAATAGGACAAGCTTCTTTTTGAGGGGAGAGTAATGTCGCATTCCGAAGCGGCTGATATTGCACAGCAGCTAGCATGCCCGGCTCTCACACAGCAGCACCGGGTTCAAATCTCAGCCGTGGAAGCACATTTTATTCTTTCTTTTATTCCTCTGTTAACCTTTGGTACAACTCGGATTTTCCGCTCCATGGACATATAATGCTTTGGCATTAAAAAGGCACATCCTGTCACGAATGTGCCTTTTCGTGTGGTTGGGTCGCACAGCTGCTCACCACTTTGAAAATCACTACTGAAGTACGAGGGGGCGCTAGTGATCACCAAATCAGGTTCACGCCATTCATAGGTGAAGGATCCTTTTGGGTGCACTGAAGATTTGTGTGGCATTTGCTTTCGTTGATTCATTGGCGCATCTCGCCGTTGATCGCAGTCCTGCACCTCCTTAGCTCTAACGGGCAGGACGGACAGCTCGGCAGACTTGTCGGCTGAATCCTTTGTGTGTAGTTTAGCGTTGCCCTTATACTGCTTCAAGTAGGGATGCATGTGAACAGTGCGCAAAACACATGCCTCTTTCCCACGCTTCTATATTAATTGCTGGTCGCGGCGAAATAGCCAAGTGATGTGCGGCCATGTTTGCCCTAAAACGTTTGTGAGACACTTCCCTATTGAAAAAACCAGCTTAAGCTGGTTAAGCTGGTCCCAGCTTCAAGCTGGGTTATTGCCCCAGCATGCCCAGCTTGGCATGGTGGTTAATCTGGTCATGCTGGGACCAGCTTGGCAAGCTGGTCCCAGCTTGGCATGCTGGTCATGCTGGTTGATCTGGTCATGGTGGGTGATCTGGTCACACTGGGTAGATCACCTAGCATGACCAGATGGTTCAGTGATTTGTCATGCTGAGGGAATTGGCTGAACAAACCAGTTTAGCCATTCAACCAGCTGAAATAAATACACAGGTAAACAAGTTATGCCTAAATGCCTCGAGGAACATTTATTGAGAGGATGGAGGCTTGGGTGTAAATCTTGTGTGCTGTTTCACCCAAGCATGCACATTTATTCTTTGGGTGCCGGTGGTTCCCTCCTTCTTGTGCCTTGTCTTGCGTTGTCGGGCAGGAACTCCTTTAAAACCTCCCGCACAATCTTCTGAAGTTCGGGGCCCGTGTGCCGAGCTTCGGTGGGTTTGGCTCCCTCGTAGTACATGAGACCATCTGGGGAAATTTTAAATAGATGTGTGTTAGATGGGCAATAAAACAAGCAATAAAATGGCTAGGTGGGCTAGTTAATTAGTGCATGATTTGAATGGAAAAGCGCCTAAAAAGCGTGGACACAAGAGAAGGATGGACAGCACGGAGTGCTACCTTACAATTGAACATGTTTGTGTTGTTATAAGTTAGCGCTTGGTCCTGTCCATCCCTTTCACCTGCTTTTTGAGGTGCTTTAGTCAAATAAAGTAAGCTCCAAGATTTCCTCTTGTTGGCTCATCAAACGTTTCTGAAGACAGTGCGTATGTCACGTTCACCGTACAGTTTTTCTGCATACAAGTGTTTCAAACTACCAAAATTATTAAGAACTTTGTGTTTTACTTTTCAGGAAGTATGATCCAAGAGCGACAGAAATATAACTTATACAAACAAAAGGGCAAGGACAGTGAGCTGTGGGTGAGGTCATAACATAATAAAATTTCAGAGAGGTCGGTGAAAAGGCCAATGTCAAAACACTACCTGCTTCCCTCCCCTATCGCACAAGTGCAATAGTGGAAGTGATTGACACATTGTTTCAGTTTTATGTTAATTAACACTGATCCCAAACTCCCGTAGTGATAGGTGTATCAATTTCTATTTAATCTGTTTGCTTGCCCTAAAGTAAAATGTACAATATTATGCGGTCGATTTGATGTGTTGGATCATTGCTGCCCCTTATTCTGCTCTGCTGCCCCTTTTCTCACCTCTTTGCACTGACTATGCCATGACGCTCGATGCAAGCTTTTTACTGCTGCGCTCAGTTTTGCTTGCTTTCCCATCCTATTACTGGTTTAACTTTTCTTGTGATCCCAACTTTTTAACCAAGCAGAAGCACAGTGTACAGTTCCCCTCATACTAGCATGCATGTGGAGCTTCACTACTCTGCACTCATGTGCCAGGAGCAGTACTTGACGGGGGTCAACATCTGGGTCAGCTCAATGGTCTCTAAAGTTTTGCTCACTATTAAAAGCTGCCATGTGTAAGTTGCAACTGAAAATTAATTGCTAACTTTAAATAACATTTCTGAAAAACAAACACTCGGCAAATATTGCAATAACCATAAACTTCACCAAGGCTGTGAAATTCTATCTGAAACCAGCTGCAGTCATAATTGCTTCCTCTCATTTATAAGCCTCCCAACGCTTAATTGGCTGTCACTTTTCCCTAAAAAATCTCGTCAACCAATTCTACTGTATTTCATTGAACTCGCTTAAATTGCAAAGTAACTCAAAAGGATACCAAAAATGGTATAAAATTAAAATTATAAGAAATCTCCAGGAAGTAGAGATACCGTAATAATCAAGACATGGAAATAATCCTTCCATTTCTGTAAATCATCTGCTACCGTGCATGCACTACATTGCATGACCCTGTTAGCGAGAACACCGAATCAGCAGCTTTTTCCATTACGTTAAAAGCAGAATGATGGGCAGAAAACTTTACCACTTAGGTTAGTTCTCCAAATTAGCTCCTTTTACCATGCCAGTATGACAATCACAAATCACAAATTCATTAAAAAAAATTATGGCAATCCTTTTTTCTTTTTTTTGCGTTAGCAGAATGATGGGCAAAGCCCCAATTCCTAGGAAAAAAAATTAAAATATGGTAATCTGTTGCTTGCATTAGCAGTGTCATGCTTGTACTTAATTATTTCAAAAAAATATTTTAAACAAATTTCAAATCTTGCGGAGCATCTTCAGTCGCCTTTGCATGAGCTGTTCAAGGACAAGCTTTCTCACTTACTTGCAAGGGCCAGCAGTTTCATTGGGGTTACCGGCAGCTTCCCCTTTGCCCCATCCTTCAAATGACTCCGGCAGGGGGCACCGGTCACACTTCTCGCGCACATCTCTTCGTGAGTATAAATACACCTGCACAAATCTTTCACATATCGTTTGGGAGGGAGTCTGTCTACTAAATCATCAATCTTTAGCTTCGAAAGCTTTATCTTGCCACCGAGGTGTACCTGCAATGAAAAATCATTCGCTTAGTCATGAAAGTCTAACGACTTTCAAAGGTTTTGTGCGTGCTTCCCTCCTTGCCCGCACATCATCTGCTCACGCTCGGTTCGGTCATTCTGGGATTCTGGATAATGACAACTTAGCCACCTGAGCACTTTGCCGCGTACAGCATATTTTTTATATTTAAGCTTTTTCGGCATGCTTAACCTATCCACTGCAGCTTCTCATTGTTTCCTCCATATATATTGTGAATGCATTAATGGAGCCTTGCAATAAATCTTGATCAAGATTGAAGTTTCACTAAAACTGACCTCACAAAACATAGGAACCAAGATAAACCAAAATTTTCCCGAAAATCACAATATTTAAAAAAAATATTGGCAAACTAAAATTAAAAAAAAAAAAAATTCCTTCTCAATGTTGACAGTGGTACGCCAATGGCAGGAGTGAATCCCCATGAAGCTTGTCTTCGGAGAGTTGTCGGTCCACAACAGGCTCATTCAGTCGAGCGTACCGACGTCACATATGCACCAAACCAGACCGCTAGACTTCACTGTACACACAACAGCAGGTTCGAATAGCCGAAATCCAGATTTCGTAGTAAACACACTCTTCTCGGATGCCACTAGTCCTCCCGAGACTCCTAAAGGCCCGTTCACACTCTTGCGACCGAGTAAGACCCAGTAAGACGTCTTAGAACAGGATACGCTACAGCGGAGCTGGTCCTAAGATGTCGCAAGAGGATTAAAGACCGGTCTGGTCTCTCTCGGTCGTACTCGGTTGCAAATGTGTGAACGGCTCTTAACACTCTCGACCAGTGTGACTAGTGAACCCACTTGCAGCGACTCCAATTGATGAGCATTCAGTTTACTTTCAAACGTGACTGTGAATGAGAATATTTTATAGCATTAACTTAGTACTTTGTAACAGCAAGAAGCTTCTAAAGGCATAAAAAAGTTTACAATGATGCAACACAAAATGCTAACAATAGAACAATGTGGTTGCCTACCATGCCATCTTCCTCAGAAAAAGCCGGTGGTGTGGGATCTTCCCTGTCCAAAACAGGCACTGGCAGCTGAAGTCCTGTAACACAGATGTTATCTTAAGTAAGACGGAACAGCATTACCGTGGGATACACTTGATAACCGAGTACACTATGTATTGTCCCCAATTGCATTAGAGCACCCATTCAAGTAATAAGATATATAATTAACAAGCGCTTACTTTTATATGTATCGTAATATACCAAGGAAATGCCCATTCCTTTTTTGACAAAAAATGGGTTGAACTATACTGTTAGTAGGAAAGCACAAAATAAATAAGGACGAATTTGACATAGATGAAGCACTCTCAACTGAAGGTTTACCATATTTACCAAATACCATATTTTCGCGATTCTAAGCACCCCCCCCCCCACCCCCCCACCCCCCCCCCCACCTTTTCCAAACGAGACGCCTGAAAAAAAGTTTGTATGCGAATGTAAGCACCCCCATCCCATGCAAGAAATTTGAGAGCGGCGATGGCGGTATCATCTTGTTATCCATTAACAAGATGATACCGAGAATGCGCACGTCAGTTCCGCTACGCCTGCTCTCAGAAGGACTCGCTCGCGCCGGCGGCTTCCGGCCGAGGATTCGCTCTTAATTCAAAGAAATACAATAATTCGGGCCCCATCCGTCGGATTCAATATCGTTTTTAGGTACAGTACCATTCCGTGAAGCCCGCTCGGGCACTAATTATAAGATTTCAAATATCGGTTCAGCATCCCTTTAAACGACACAGGGCTTTGAGAATCGTTGCAACATCAATCTCACCCAATATTTTTGCTGCAGCACCAGTGTGTTTATCTGCTGTGTAGTAAGCAATTCAACGAAAATGTGTCACGTTGCGTGCGAGAGGGAAGGCATGGAATAGTAAAACATCGTTCATACACTTGCAACCGAGTATGACTGAGAAAGACAGACCGGTTTCTAAGCCTTTTCTGACGTCTTTGGACCAGCTCCGCAGCAGCGCATCCGGTCCTAAGATGTCGCAAGAGACTTAAAAACCGGTCTCGTCTCTCTCGGTCATACTTGGTTACAAGTGTGTGAACGAGCCTAAAGGAGTCTTCTCTCAACATTACAAAGCCACGAAAAAGTAAGAGGGAGTGATCACAATTGCAACGAAACTCTGCCCACTAGACAGCATTCTATCTGGTTGGTAAAGAAACATCTGATCCGTGGGTTTTGTGGTCCTTGTGGTGCACCTGGTCATTCTTAGTCGACAAAATGAGTATACCCTTCGAACTATCTCCTCCCCCTCCTTCAAAGGACGAGCCCTTGTTCACAAAGAACCAATGGAGTTTCGACGGCTGCTAAAAGGACATGACAGTCATTCGTACGATTAGGAGACGACGCAGCGTTTATGTGTACCCCTGTCATTTAATCGGAGCTCGGCGCCAGGGCATCACTGTACCCCGTTTGTGGAGCAGACGTACTTGCTCCTCATAGAACCTACCTTGTTCGGTGGCTGCCTGTGAGGTTTTTTCAGGCCCGTAAAAAACCATAAAATTCCTTAGATTGCCCAGCATAAAATACTGGAGGAACTACAGTACCTGTTGCACTACAATGATATGCTGAATTTCATTTTCAATAGAACGCTGCAAAATTTGTCATAAACGTGCTTTCGTAATATATTTTATTCAAATTTACTGTCTAGATCTAAGAAATCAATTTTTCTAAGAACTCCTTTATGAAGCTAGGTGTTCTAATCACTGAAGAGTTTAAATGTGGTTTGCAGGTACACGTGCGTCTGTTGTCAAGGTAGACAAGCGACTACGAAGCATCAAGCCTCCCCACTGTATAACAAGGCTGCCTCGTTCCATTGAGGAGCGTGGCTTCTGGAAGGCGTCAGAGTGGAAGCAGTGGCTCCTTTTTTATGCACTGCCATGCTTGCTGGATGTCCTTCCCCAACTCTACTGGAAGCACCTCTCCAAGCTCTGTGAGGCTGTACACATTTTGCTGCATGACAGCCTTACGCTCCGTGACATCAAGCGTGCAGGTGAGCTCCCAAAAACAAGCATTTAGTTGAAGCCTTGCCATCTAGCCAACACTTCTAAACAGCTTTATTTTCGAGGGCTTTGTTTCACAAATTTTGCAAAGTGTAGGTTTCTGGAAAAATTGTGCAGGCAGAAAATTTTGTATTGATGGGGAAAGGGAGGGGGGTGATGTATGTATACATGCAATAAATTTTTTTGTCATACTTTTCAAATCTTGAGATTTCAGAACATTAGGTTTCCTCAAAAATTATTACGTTCACAGTATTTGAAACTATGTAAGACAACCTCCTCACACCATCTCCAAGCATGCCATGAGCAACACAAATTTTATAGGACTCTTGATACAGATTGTTAGTATGCTCGACGGGGCGCCGCAAACCCCAAAACAGCACTCATAAAGAGATATCCGAAACGGATGGCCATATTTTTGTAAAATAAGGATGCGATTGAGTGAGAATTGCGACATCTTGTTTCCTGCAGAACAGTTAAGGAGGAGGGGAAACGGCCTCGCTTCCTTCCCTCTTTGTGTCCTCGTGGAGTCAAACCGAAGAGAGGAGGTAACAAGAATCGCAACGTCGTGGGCATTTTTGGCCTTGTTCAAGCGAGCTCTTCTTTCGCAAAAATACGACCATCCATTGCAGATAATGATTTATGGGTGACGCTTTCGGGTTTGTAGCTTCCCGCCTAGTGCTTCTGCATTGTTTTCTGAAATCAAAATTTCGCTTCTGCATCCCTTTAACGTTGAAAGTGCTCATCACATCCTATCTTACTGATAGCATCATTTTGGTGGACTTTCCGCTTTTTGCGATGCACAGTTTGTTCATCATGTGGGCCGAAAAACTGGCTTTCATTTTTTCTTTCCTTTAAACCCTGTATTTGGTTTGTTAGAACATTTTTGTACTTTTCTTGAAGCTTAGGTAGAACATACATATCCTTCTAGTGCATTTCTGTTCCAAATTTGAAGGGCATTTTATATCATTGAAGCAAACATTGTTCAAACATACAAAGCACCTCTCATGAGGGGTACTTTCTCTAATTTGTGGAAGTCTTCTATAGTTGTGCCCATATTCGAGGCTGGTGATCTGTCATTATTAGTGACTATCGTCCCGTTTTGTTATTGTGTGGTTTCCCGAAGGTTTTCGAAATGGTTATGCATAACTGGATCTCAAATTACCTCAGTAAAAAAATTTAGTCTTTTTCAGCATGGTTTTTAAAAGGGAAAGTCCGTTGAAAGAGATTTGTGCTCTTTTCTAGATTTCTTTGTGCCGATAGTCACAGAGGCGAAATTGATGCTGTATATTTTGACATGTCAAAGGCTTTTGACTGTGTAGATCATACTTTACTCCTTTGCAAACTTTCTTTTTATGTCATGTGCCCAAAGCTTTGTGAATGGTTCAGGAGCTACCTGAGTTTACATAGTAATACTGTTTATGTTGGCAACTTTTTGGAAGTGTTTTAGATCAACTTCTGGCGTACACCAAGGTTCAAACCTGGGACCACTGTTGTTTATTTTGTTTGTAAACAATACAGTATCATGCGTCAAGCACTCAAATGTACTTCTTTTTGCTGATGACATGAAACTCTTTTTAAATGTTAAAGACCATATTGATTGTACTTTATTGCAAACTGATATTGGTGCAATTTCAGAGTGGTGTAGAAAAAAAGCCTTGTCGTTCAATCTTAAAAGCTAAATTGATTTCTTTATAGAGAAAGTGGGAAGTTTTCTTTTACCCTTATGTGCTTGAGGGAAATGTGGTAGATGCTGTATCTCTAGTAAGAGACCTTGGCGTCTATATTGACAAATTCACTGCACACGTTTCTAAGATCTTTGGATTAGAGATAAGAAGTTGGAAATGATCACTTTGGTTATCAAGTTCTTTCACTTCACCAATATCTGTAGTGTGTCTGTTCTGTAGCCTTGTACGCTCAGTACTTGAATTGGGTTCAATTAGTTGTTAATACAAGTTAAAATGATTGAGCGTGTGCAGAAGTTTATGTGGTTTTTGGTCTGTTGTGGTTTTTGGGGTCAATAAATGTGCTTTGTGTAAAGATCACCATGTCATTGGTTCCATTAATGCAAATAAATAAATCACTTAGTCTCATACAGATCCTTGTGGTACTCAACCGTGAGATGGGTGGAAAGCGATAATAACAATCAATCTGGAAAGCAGCTTGGTTTTTCTACTGCCGGCGATGGGAAGGTCACGTGTGAAGTTTTGGAGTTGCAACCGGGTTTCACTCGCCACTGAGGGAGAGCTGTGCACGCATTTATTGTTTTAAATAGTGAATTTCTGATCGTGTACTTTGTCAATCAATACTTATAGGAGGAATCAGCCGTATATACATTTGGTTGTCGACCTAAATTCATATTTGATCGTTTAATGTGTATAAGTGGCATAATAAAAGGTTTTGTCATTTAAACAATACACCTTTTCTTCATTTTGCAGTCGGTGCTTGTTTTTTTTTAATGTCAGGTGAACCATATTGCTTTACAACAAAGGCATATACCCCCCGCCCCCCGGCACCCTAAAAATGCAGTGTGAGATCTATAACTAAAATTTCACCATATTTCAAACACTAGGTTTCTGCTTCACATATTTTGTTCCTCTATTAAAACTACCTTGCTTTTCATTCAGACTCTTAAACGGCTTGATGTCGGTATAGGTCATAACTATTATGGCCTCGTCCCACTAGAGCACGAACCAAAACACTTCTCAGAGACACGGAAAGTGCAGCTTGTTAGCAGTCATTATTCCGTTTCAATATAGTCACCAAATGGCAAAACAGCTTGCGTCACTTAAGAAGACACGCGCAAGGTTACAAATGGATATATTTTGTTTTGTTGGCCGACAGTGGGACTGCCAGCTAGGCAGCTCTGTTTTAGTGATAAGTAAGCTGGCGTGAAGAGCAGTTTAACTGGCTTGACGTACCCCACTGGCTCGCAGGAAGACCAATTTAACCAGCCGACCCATTGGCTCCTAGGAGGACTAGTTTAACCACCTTGACCACATTGCCTCCCAGTAAGACCAGTTTAACCACCTTGACCACATTGGCTCCCAGCTGAAAATCAGCTTGACCACATTGCCTCCCAGGAAGACCAGTTTAACCACCTTGACCACATTGGCTCCCAGCTGAAAACCAGCTTGACCACATTGGTTCCCAATTCAACCAGCTTGACCACACTGGCTCCCAGCTGAAAACCGGCTTGACCACATTGCCTCCCAGGAAGACCAGTTTAACCACCTTGACCACATTGGCTCCCAGCTGAAAACCAGCTTGACCACATTGGTTCCCAATTCAACCAGCTTGACCACACTGGCTCCCAGCTGAAAACCGGCTTGACCACATTGGCTTCCAGGAA